TCTATCTATCTATCTATCTATCTATCTATCTATCTATCTATCTATCTATCTATCTATCTATCTATCTATCTATCTATCTATCTATCTATCTATCTATCTATCTATCTATCTATCTATCTATCTATCTATCTATCTATCTATCTATCTATCTATCTATCTATCTATCTATCTATCTATCTATCTATCTATCTATCTATCTATCTATCTATCTATCTATCTATCTATACTTTCCCACGAGAGTTACAAAAACATCTTCAACCACCATTGATCATATTTATGTCTCCTGTCCAGGAAATATTATTGAATGCACAGTTCCTGTTACAGCAGTCAGCGACCATTATCCGGTGTGCTGTACATGGTCTAAATTTGGCTTTAGGTCTCCTAAAGATAGGCACCTCACAATTAAATTTAGAAATTTTAAAACCTTTAATTCAGAAGTATTTTTAAATGATTTGCGAAACGCACAGCTAGAGCATGTTTATCAACTTTCTGAACCAGACGATGCTATAGCATACTGGACAAAAACTGTCTACAGTGTGTTTGATAAACATGTGCCGGTTAAAGAAGTTAGGGTTAAAAATCAAACTAAGTCTCCATGGATCACTAGTGAAGTTTTGGAGGTTATGAGAGATCGAGACATGGCACATAAAAATAAAAATGTCATTGAGTATCGTAGGCTAAGAAATAAAGTGCAATATATGACCCGTAGGATCAAGAAAGATCATTTTAATAAGTTGATTATAGATAAATCAAACAGTACAGACATATGGAAGGCTATTAACATGCTGACCAACAGGAAACTTCATTCAGATTCTGTAAAACCAGATTCTCTTACATGTAATGATTTCAGTAATTTTTTTAAATCAGAAATAGAAAATTTAAAATCCACCATTCCAGAAGCACAGAGTGACTTAAGCCTGTTGGCATCATTTAGTGATGATAAATGCATTAATGCTAGTCCTTCTGAGATTCCTCTCATGTCTGTTGCTGAAGTATATAAATACCTCTCCAACCTCAAGCAGACAAACTCGTCTGGCTTGGATGGTGTCAGCAATCGAATTCTTCGATGTGCTGCACCAGTGATAAGCGATTCCTTAACTTTCATATATAATCAGTGTCTTGCCAAGAACTACTTTCCTTCTGCATTTAAAGTTGCAAAAGTTTATCCTCTGTATAAACCTGGTTCAACTGATAAAAGTTCTGTGGGTAATTATAGACCAATTTCTTTACTATCATCACTATCAAAACCATTAGAGAAACACATACATAAAATAATATTTCAGCATTTAAATAGCAACAATCTAATCATCGATAGTCAGTCAGGGTTCAGGCCTAAATACTCTTGTCATACTGCCTTGACAAAAATGACAGACAACTGGCATGTTAACATCAACGATGGCAAGATGTGTGGAGCAGTTTTTGTTGATTTTAAGAAAGCATTTGATATGGTTGATCATGATATTTTAATTAACAAATTAATTACCTTAAAAACTAACAACAATTTAGTAAATTTAATAAAGTCATTCTTGTCTGATCGACGACAAGTAGTTTCCTTTGAGAACTGCCTTTCAGATTCCACACAGCTAAATATTGGCGTTCCTCAGGGTTCAGTACTTGGACCATTGCTTTTTGCCACATATATTAATGACCTTCCGCTACATCTTACCATAACATGTGACTTATTTGCAGATGACTGTACTATATACACTAATAATGAGAACTATGATGAGTTAGGACGTTCATTACAGATTGAACTAGATAAGCTTATTAAATGGAGTAATGCTAATCGCATGCAAATTAACATAACTAAAACTAAATCTATGATAATAGCAACCAGACAAAAGTTACAGATGTTGGACTTAAACAAGCCTCCACTTGAGCTCTATGTTGACAAATTACTTATTAGTAATGTTAATGAACACAAAACATTAGGTGTTATAATTGATAGCAATTTAACTTGGTGTTCTCATGTTCATGCCATAACCAAGAAAGTAGCACAAAAAGTTTATCAGTTAGCCAAAATTCAAAACTTTCTGGATCAGAGCACACGTAAACTATTTTATGTATCTTACATTCAAGCCCATATTGACTATTGTTCCACGGTTTGGGATGGTTGCTCCAAATCCAACTTAAAACGACTGTGTTCTCTACAAAATCGCGCTTTACACCTAGTCTCAGATAGAAAGCACGCTGACAAAAATCATCTCTATAGCCATCTAAAAATTCTCCCATTTAATAAACGATTAATTTTTAATAAAGGTAAATTTGTTCATAAAATATTAGCTCAGAACACTGCAGATTATCTTTTCAGGTTAATTCACACCAACCCTAAGAACAGCAAACGCCTAAATTTATTGCATTTGCCAAAGCCTAGAATAGATCTATATAAAACAAGTTTGTCATATTCTGCTGCACATTTATGGAATCACCTGCCACTCGATCTAAAAAATATGAGTATGTACTCATTTAACCGCAGCCTTTTTAAATTCATGCTTACTAGTGATTATATGCCACCATAGATGTAGCTAATAATTTACATGCATTATTATTTTACTTATATATATTATGTAGGTGTGTGTGTGTGTGATTGTTAGTGTGTGTATGTGGAAATATGTATGTATTTTAAGGTTTGTAAGTAGGTGTGTGTTTGTATGGTACGTATGTTGTAAGTATGTGGGCGTATATATGTAGGTGTATGTGCGACCGTATATGAGTGTATGTATAATTGTGGGTGTGTGTGTATTTTATTTATACAAGTATGTATGTAGGTGTCTGTATGTGTGATTGTATATGTCTGTTTGCATGCATGTGTGTGGATGTATGTATGCATATGTAGCTGTGTAAGTATGTGTGTATGTATGCATCTATGTGTGTGTGTGTATGCAAATATGTCTGTGTACATAGGTGTGTGCATTTTATGTTTGTGTATGTATGTATGTATGGATGTGTGCTCATGTATGTATGGATGTATGCTTGTTTTATGTATACATGTAGATGTAGCCTATGTATGTATGTATACATGTGGATGTATGTATGTATGCGTATATGTATGTATGTATCAGGTTTGTCTGTATGCATATGAGAATGAATGTATGTAAATGTAGCTGTGTAAGTATGTGTGTGTATTTATGCATGTATGTGGATGTATATAGGTATATGTGGATGTATAGGCATGTGGTGTGTGTGTCTTTTTATAAATGTAGGTATGTGTGTGAGTATGTGGGTATGTATTATGGATGTGTATGTATAAAAGTCACTATGTATGTGTGTGTATGTGTGTATTACCGGGGCATGTGTGTGATTGTGGGTATATGTGTATGTTCATGTGTGAAGGTATATTTAGGGTTGTGAGTATGTGTTTATATATATATATTTTTTTAATGTATGTGGAAAGTATGTGTGATGCAGGTATGCATGTGATGTATGTATGTGGGTATCTGTATGAGTGATTGTATATGTGTGTATGCATGCATGTGTGTCTATTTA